TGGTTGCTTCTTAATAACAATTTTAAAATGAAAGGAACTTGAGAAAAATGTTCAACTAACTTGTCCTCATTAGGTTTTGACTCAAATGGAATGATTTAGGGGGCAATTTCCATGATATGAGGAGAGGAGAGCTGAGAGATTTTTATGACCAAAACAGTAATAATGATGATCGTGATAATAATGGCTTTGAGAACGTGGACATTAAATACATATTAATAATTAGCAAAGTGTTTCAAACAAAATAAATGCCTCAGAACACATTACAAGGGGCAGAAAGAATTTGGTCCCAGTGAGAGCCAATCTGTTCTGCTGAAAGTACAACCCCAGCATTTTGCTATTAAAGGGCACAAGGGGACGGTTCCATGGAGAGCTAAGCTAAAGCTCGCTCGGGAGAAAGGTGCCTACCCACACAGGTAAACGATCTCCTCTGGGGCAGGCCAGGAAAGGGTCCATTCACCTCATGTGGGTGGACACACTTGGCCCAGGAGGCCGCTGCATTTAATGCTTTTTCCTACTGGATCAGGCTCATTTGTTTTTACATCTCGAATCTATGTGTAGTCCTTATTCAGACGTGTTATTATAAAACACCTTTCAGTATGCCATCAGTAAAATGGAGTACTCTAAACAAATGTTCTCTTAGGGCAATAACTCCTTAATATAAACTGCATTTAATAAAACTTGTAGTGATTCCAAAAAGAAAAGGGTAAGGCATACTCAAAGAAAATGTCTAGAAGAAATTTGCAATTAATATTTTACAAGACATTTAGATTCCACAGATTCCTCCTAGCTGTTAAAGTTTAAGAGCTTTTTCAAAACTGTATTCCTCTCTGTTATTACATCCTTAATTAAATTAATTTATATGGTGAATGCTCTAATGATATTGCTGTAGATTTTCAATCACAAAGCCTCATGGCTAGAGACAACATGTGTTAAGACCTTGGAAAAAAACATGACATAAGTCATGGTGTTGTCTCTGGTACAAGGATATTTGTCCCTGACATCTGATTATTGAAAAAGTCTTGGTGGTTTTTCTGTGCTTCAATCAAAGTCTTTTATTATATTTTACTTTTTAATTGAGCTAAATTAGGTCAATGAAAACAAAATAAATATTCCAGATTGCTGTTACAAGGATTTCTTTCTTTCCTGGACACATAATGGGAGACAATGACATATCTACTGAACAACACCACCACTTGGTTTTGCCTGTGTGAAACCCTTAATAAAGGAGGCTATCTTTAAGCACAATTTGCTACACCATCAAAGCAGAGGCAATCAAAATTTGTTCAAGAACACAAAAGGCACAGCTGTGGAAAGAGGCAGTCTAATGATGCTGCACCAAATCCAATGCTCTAGCCTTTGCAGACAGTTAAGCACATTCCCTTCAGGCTACGGGAGCACTACTAACCAGGAACAAGAGGGAGAGAGGGAGAGAGAGAGAGAGAGGGAGAGAGAGAGAGAGAGAGAGAGAGAGAGAGGGAGAGAGAGAGAGAGAGAGAGAGAGAGAGAGAGAGAGAGAGGGAGAGAGGGAGAGAGAGGGAGGGAGAGGGAGAGGGAGAGGGAGAGGGAGAGGGAGAGGGAGAGAGAGGAGAGAGAGAGGGAGAAATTGGTACTCTGTCACAAGTGGAAAAGCACAAAGGCATAAATCAGGTATGTACTAATTGCCTATGCACGATACATCCTCATGGTAAGACCAACTAGAAGCCTCATTAGACTGGATCTTAGCTATTTCATGCCAAAACCTAGCTAAGTGCCTGCCTTGGAGAAGCACCCAATAATCCTTTGTGTTTTATTATTCTCATGAACTATCAGCAATTAGTGGGTGCTGTACCTAACAGTTAATCTGTAGCTTAAGTATCAAGTAACCTTTTCTAGAGGAAAACTGTCAAGCCAAGGAAATGATTCCTAGCTTCTCAATCTTAGTGTTACATGTGGAGATGTTGAATTTGCTCCTTTTATGTGTACTATTATATTTCTAAGATTTATGCTGAACATTTCAGGAGATATAAGATCCAGTATCTTAGTTACTAAGTAAGAGGCCGGCTAGAGAAATGTGTCCCCAGTCACTCTGCACTGCTCAGTAAGGCCCTGATTCTTCACCTTAACTCCACTACCCTTCTCCCAAGGGCCCATTTAAAGTTCTCTAGACATGATATGCAAAGGAGTGTACTTTTAAATCAGAACCAATGTGTAGACACTTCCACCTGCGTAGAGACAGTTCTATCGACTTGTTTTCCCTTCCTGTACTGGCCATGGCTTTTGTTTCCCTCAAGAAAAGAAGATAGCACATAAAGGGAAAAGCACACTCCCAGACATTAATGAAGTTTGGTTGTATGATAAAAGTTCCTTAAGATACAAAAACTGTAAAAGAAAAGTGCGTTGGGAAAAAAAAAAAAGCACCATTTGATCTTGTTATAAATGGAAAGTTTTGGACACTGTAAAAAAAAAGGTAGCAAGTGCCTTTTTAATGGATTTTATCTGCAGGAAAATGATTACAACCAGAAAAGCTTTAAAGTGTCAGCTGGTGATGCATTTTTCTTTATCCCTTTTATTTTTATTCAGAAGGAAATTGAAGGCATATGGCAAAGTGCATCATTAATTTCTTATTAATTTCATAATATGAAGGCAACCAGTTAAAATAGTAGTGCTACAACTTTAAATTACCGAAGTCACTTGGTATTTAATGAGAGATTTAGCACAGCGGGGGTTTTGTTAAATTAAGTTATGCCTTCACATCACAGTGGGAAAACAGGTGTATATTGGTTTAGAATTATGGAAATGTTGACGAATTCCAAGGCTTGTAATCAAACAGCAAGGCTCCCTGTCATATTTTTTTCCCCAAGAATGTGCATTAATCTTTTATGTCTGGTCCCATTTCTTCCTGGCCGCCAAAGGCTCACAGCTGAAAGGCAACCACTTTCATGTTTTTCTTGCAGCTGTTAAGGGTGATGTTTATCAGATAAGTCTGCACATAAATGCAAGATGTGGAACTCTGTCCCTATTTACCACATTTGAAACAGCAAATGGAGCAAGCATATACATTGTAAAAGCTGTGAGGCTTACAAATTAGATCTGACTTTTCAAATTTTTGTTTAGCCTGCCTCAAGTAATTGGGCATATGAAATCGAATTGGCTAAAATGAAATAAAAAAAGTCTACCCATCATCTTTTTCTATCTCCCAAATTATTGCCCTTAATAATGGGTCTCGGAAAAGAGCACAATTATAAAAAACACATATGGAGGGTGTTAATTGTTGGCCAGGAAAAGGGTCAGAGTAAGATATCCCAAAGAGAAGCACACTCATCAGCCGTTCTATGTATTCCAACACGCCCTGTTCAGAGTATCTCCGGGTTTCCAGAACGCATCTTCACACAGGAACAAGGGCATGCTGGGAGCTGTGCTTCTAGCGTAGGCGGTGCATCAAAATTAACCAAGCTTTGCATTGAGTTCAAATATGATGCTATCCAGCATCAAACTATATTGTACCTTAAACGGTAAATAATGATTCATCTCAAATAATTTTTTAACACACCCAGGGGGAATTTTGTGTGCTAATTATTGTAAAGCATTTATTTTTAAGAGCTGGAACATCAAGTGGTCTTTGCTCTTTAATTAGGAGCCTGGAAAATAAAAAAATTTGCCTGCTATTGTTGGCTGGGGCAGTAAAAAATTTGCCATGATCGCTACATTCAACAATGTGACCTAACACTTGCAATCTTCTAGGACTGTGTTGGAAAAATTCCATTTACTTGGAGAATGAAGCTGAAATACTACTACTCTTCTAAAGTCACTAAGCAAAGCACTTAGACTTAATAAAAGCAGCATTACCAAGAATCACCTTGGAAGTTTCAGGGAGAAGTAGTTAAATTAAATAGGGAGGGATCATTCTGGTACCACACACTTGCTTTTCTTCTTTGATTTGCTCTCATAAAAAGGAAAACCAAAGTGGCATGAACAAGATCAAAGTTCATAATTTATTACTTGAGTGATTAAAAAGCTTAATATTCTGAAAACATTTTGCAGCTATAAATATAACATTTTCAATTGTTCCTGTGGGTATGGGGATAAAACACGTGTGCTCAGGTTAGTGTGCACACGCGTGCAACACACACGCATTTTAGTATATGAGTAGTAAGAAAGAACTGACACAAAGCTAGCACTGCACCCTGGAAACATGGTGGGCATTAACACCTTGCTTTTACTTTTACTAAATCAAGTTTCAATAGATTCATCATCATTGCACTGTTTACCCAGTTCCTTTGTTAGATGATACTGAATGAACTCATCACTGATATTTGGGAAAACATACAAACAGCATAAGGAAATTTAAACTTGCATACAATATATTAAGTGCCACAAAATCCTTTAAAATAATTTATTCTGATAAAGCTGCTCTATGCAACATCAGTTCATTTCTACTGCATTGTACTAATCATTGAATATTACTGGGAAGGAAATGGAAAAAAACTGTAAGCTTTGTATTTTCTGTTCCGTAGCAACGTGAAGTCACAAATTGGACATTAAAACATTGACTTTGTTAACCACCATTGACTGTTTAGAGATCATTAGGAGGCTTAATATTATGGCTGTACAGGGTACATTTTGTTCTTTCAAAAGAAAATCTAAAGACTAAATTTGAAAAGGGGCTCCTGGTGAGTAAAAGCTTTTCCTTTTCCATTTGCTTCACTCGTGTATGTGTTGGGTTTTTTCCTTTTAAAACCTTAGCCCACCCAATAGTCTGTGGCAGCCACTAGACCCAGTGGGGTCACTCTGATTTTCTAACCAGGGGACCTGCTATTTGAGAGCTCTTCCCATCAGTGTTAATGCCAGCCTCTTGATGGGCTGGCCAGCCGGTCCGACTGCTGTAGGGAACACAGGGGTCAGCACACCCCTCAAAAGACCAAAGTCATTTTTGGCACTAAGAACCCATAACTAGAACCTTCAGTTGAAAGGACCATTTTCAAGCAATAAAGTGATTTTGGTACAAAAGTAAACCGACTCACCCCAGGTAAAGTTTTAATATTGTGCAGTGCATTCTGGGCTTCAAGTGCAGCTTTTCTTGTATAAAATGTTACGAAACAACAACCTACAGAGAGAAATGAAAAGAGTTTAGAAATTTCTGTGAATGCTTTGCTGAGATATAATGGGGACTGTGGCGAACAAATAATCTACTTAAAAGGATGCACAATTTAAAAATAATAAAGTGCACGCGAACAGTAATAACAACATCTCAAGCATTTACACAGTGCCTTTCATCCCAAATCACATTTGTTAGCTGTACCCACGCTGGAGATCAATTCATAACTCTCTGCACCCACTATCTGGAACACAGCTATTCAAGAACGAGGGTGGGAGGCGGCGGCGCGAGGGTGAGGTGTTAATGGGACTTGTCACGTAGCAGCTACATGAGGAGAAGCGTTCAGTCACAGTAACAATACCACAAACGTACATTAACTGTAATGCTCCTAAAGGGTGTCTCTACAATATCACGCTCTGAAAACATCTTCTAACCTCAAAGCTTTCGACAACTGGATCGTAAGTTTCTTACAAGAAACGATATTCTTCTTTATCTGCACCACAGTCCACAATGCAAAGCTCTATGCAAATGCCTACTCCGCGCTCCTCCGCCACAGTGGAAAGCTGTGTGTCAGCGAGGTGGGAAACGAAGCTACAGTCTGACGGGTTGTGTGACTGGACAACTCCGGCCGTGCAGTGAGCGTGGCTGTGGCACACCGCCGGAGTCCTCATTTCCAAGAGCCCAGGGAGCACTGGCCAAGCCCCTGCAGCGCAGGCCAGCAGATACCCTCTTTCTAACCTACTTCCTCCTCCAAAGAAGGTGCCGAAACCTTACACCATTCCTTCAGTGTCCTGAGGATGACTGTCTCTTCTTCAACTTATTTTTTTTGTTTTGTTTTGTTTTTTTCCGGTACCGGGAATCGAACTCACGACCTTGCGCTTGCCAGGCAGGCGCTGTGCCGCTGAGCTAAATCCCCAGCCCCCTCTTCTTCAACTTATAAAGACGCTGGTTAACAACATTTCACCCAGCATGCAGTTTCTTAGCACTATCAGGCTTGGGAAAAAGAAGTAAATAAAAACTTTAAAAATTATATTAAAAAAAAGATGCTCCCTTTGGTAAGTTGGGGATGAGAGGAAAATGGAACGAGGTATTCAGCAAAACCGTATCTACTTTAACTCAGCTTTAGTAAAGGCCCCTAACACGTTGAGCCAGAGAAGGCGGGACGAGCTACAGGGGTGCTCACACCACAAGCGCAGAGACGAGCCTGTGGGAAACGCGCAGCACTTGGGCACCAGTGTCGGCCACGCTTAAGGAATGACGCAAACACGAAGAACCAGAACCAAATCAGGCAGCTGCAGGCAGGGAGCGGACACTGCAAGCCATCGCGGACTTAGGCACACACCGGCATTCCGATTTCTCAAAATATAAAAATCGTTCAGTGGACTAGGGGAAATCAAGCATGATGCCACTTATACAGCATTCTTAAAGATGCATGATATGCTCCCTCCTCATTTGGAAAACAAAGTAGAGCCTTTTGTCTTATACTTGGTTCACTCAGAGTCTACCAAGATTGAGATATTCAAAACCTTCACCTTTTGGATAAGCAGAGTCTGACCCTGGTTTCTTGGCATTATCCAAGGATCAGAAACCCTTCAAATGCATCATTTGAATGATGGAGGGAAATTAAAATTATGAAGTTTCTTAAGAATTACAGATGGAGAGACTGACCATTTTTAGGTGATCTTTACTTCAGCTATTTTGACTTCTTTGACAAAAGTCCATTTGGCCATGTTGCTTGACAGGAGACCTTTTAGTGAGCTGATTAACTAGTTATTTGAGCTTCACTGGTATAATACAAGCCCCAGAAAAGCTATATACTTATAATCAAGAAATAATTTTAAACAAGAAATTCCCAATTTTTAGTAACCTATCATGATAATTTTTAAGAGGGAAAAATATAAAACATGCAGCATTAGCCTTAGCACAGAAAGAAGACAGGGAAAGCTTTCTAAATGCTTCCAGCAAACATTCTCAGTACGGTCTTTCATTCTCCTATGCTGATATGGTTGGTGTCCAGATAAGGATGTAATTGAGAAGTCCTGAATTTCAACTCCATTTAGTAATCGACACTTCAAAAAAGAAAAATCTGACCCTTTCAAGCAGGTGACCTTTGAGGGGCGATACACTTAAAAATAATGTGATGAGCGGAGTTTGCTTGGCTGGAAAGACGGCAACTAAAGAAGAGTAAAGCTTCGGAGAGGAAAAACATACACAGAATCAAGAACGAAAAAACTGCTGGGTATGGGGCACAAGCCTGTAATCCTAGCACTTGGAAGGCAGAGGCAGGAGGATTGCTGTGAGTTTGAGGTCACCCTGGGTTACATAGTGAGTTCAAGGCTAGCCTGAATTACGTAGCAAGATTTTGTCTCCAAAAAGAGAAAAAAAAAAAATTTGAAAAAGAGAGAGAATGAAAAAGCTTAGGGTCAAGAACGAAAAGTATAGCATGGCCTAAAAGAACAGAGAAATGAAAGGGGACTGAAAATGGGGAGCTAAATACAAGGAGAAGACAAAAGCAACAGCAAACGATGAGGATGTAAGCGGTGGGAGGGTGTGCCCGTGCTGTGCGTCAATCTGAAGCGCTATCACCAACATACAGCAGTCTGAGGAGTAAAGGAAGCCCTCCTGCCTCGGCCCCCAAACTAATTCCCCGCTGGTTCTCACTGCCTAAGAGCCCACGAGGGCCTTGGGGCCATGTGCTACTTAGTATTAAAGTGCTACCGTCGGGAAGCAGACATTTCTTTGCTTTTAGCTGTTTACATCTTAGGGTGAATTTGACTACATAAAGTGCTTTCTTCTTAAAAAACGTTTTTCATGGGTGGTTTTTGTTTTTATTTCTTTTTGTTTGCAGAAAAGTAAGCGTGAAGCTGGTGTCTGAGCAGTAAGGACCAGCAGGAGAGGAGGGACGGAGAGCCGCGCCTCGCGCACAGAAGAGGAGGTGGGAACGCCGCCACCGGCTCCCTGGTCTCGCCCGAGGTCCACTCTGCCCGTGGATGTGCGGCAGAGAAATCAGAGACTGATCACTACATTTCCTTTTCAAGTGACACACAGCTCGTGACCCTGTGACTGCGCACCCCATAAAGGTCAGTCTAGGAGTGCACCGAGACAATCCTTTCGGTGTGGTACCTGGGGGGCACCCTGGGTACCGAGTGACAGCTGCCTTCACTGTCTGCTCGTCTGCGCCCCGCCGAGAGCTCGGCTCCAGCAGCGCTGCGCTTGGTACGTAAACTCGGCACCTTCGTGTGAATTCAAAGCAGGTGTCTCATTTTAAGTGGGCGAAGCCCTTGCCTCAGCCCACGGCTTGGGGAGCAGAGCCCGAGCCCCGTTTCTGCTCCTATTCACAGCTCGGGCTGGGCACCCTTGTAGGATGAACGACTTGTACAGATGTGCGGTCTTGGGACGGACAGAAAGGCCGGAAATATTGCTTCCCAAACCCTTATTTACTTGTTTATTTTTGCTACCAGGAGTCGAACTCGGGACCTTGCGCTGCCAGGCAGGCGCTGTGCCGCTGAGCTGCGTCCCGGCCCTAACGCTCTTTCCTTCTGGTCTCACACTTTGGTTCCTGAGCGATGTTGGAAACAGTCTGTCGCATTCTCTGAACCTCTGTCAGTCCTACTTTCCTTACCTCTAACCAATGAACAATAAGCGCGTCCCTCACCCCACCCCAAAGAGCCCATGTATTTCACCACAGTGTTTCATTCAGAGCAAATTTTAAATTTAAAATTATTTTTTTAACCTATATGGCTAAAAGTGACTTATCTTGCATTTGGCATGCATAATATTTCACATAATTAAAATAGTGTTTGGGTAGGTTACCTTACAATTTGTAGAGAAAATACAGACTTCCAAATTTAAAGAATCATTTTAGAAGCAGCAGTCCGTATTTCTCCCGCAACGGGACTCTGACTGGTCCATTTCCAGGATCAGGCTCTCTCTGAAAGACTGTTGGTTCTCTGAGTACTGTCCCAGACAACAGTCTTAGTTTTTTTTTTTTTTTTTTTTTTTTTTTTTAAACTATATTGCATGATTTCTCTAATATGAGGAACCCAAAATATAAATAAATTATAGGACACAATAATAGATAATAGGAAACAGGGAGATGCATCTTTTGCAAAAGGGAAGGGGATGAAAAAGAATTAGGATGTGTTATGTACCTGCATCAGCTCCCCTTGGTAAATGTCACCGTTCTGTACTGCAAACTTAGCTGGCTGTGGTGGTGCACACCTATAATCCCTGCACTCAGGAGGCTGAGGCAGGAGGATCTTTGTGAGTTCGAGACCAGCCTGGGCTACAAAGTGAGCTCAAGGCCAGCCTGAACTGCATAGCAAGACCCTGTCTCAAAAAAACAAAGAATAAAAACATAAAAAATGTACTCCAAACGTGCACTAATAACGATTGAAAACCCACCTGTCATTAAAACGTACACTTCCAATGGGATTCAGTGACCTGCAGAGAATACCTCAACAAAGGAAGGCGGAACAGCATTATTTGCCCTTGCAGGCTAACTTTTACGGCAAAAGACCAGGGAGCAACCAGAGATCCTGGAAAACCCATGAAGGCTCAACAAGCATGAAATTTTCCTTCTTGCTGGCCCTCACTGAAAGTACAGCTGTTATGGGAACCACCTGTCTCTTAGATTTCCCCACGCCAGCTGTAACTCAGGTCTGAACTATCCTGGATTCATTTCTAGGTCAGCTGCAACAGCAGATGGCTCAGCCTTTGGATTCAGGGGACATGATTCCCTCCTTCTGCAGGTTCCGTTTCAACATCAGCGTGAGGCGGGTGGTTAAACACCTACAACACCCAGATGCTCTGCAGTGGTCAGTGGCCGCAACACGTATCAGAGCGGCCCGTCCCTCAGGCCCATGTTCAAGTCAGAAACGCCCCCTTCCTGCTGTCCACGCAGCACAGAGAAAAGAGGCTTTCTCCATCCTTAAAGGAAAGGAAGACCGGTCGGGGGCCCTGGTGTCAGCAGAGGCTGGTGCACTCTGATGAGTCAGGTGTTTCAGCGA